TAACTTAAGCCTAAACAGGAAATAAGTTTCGCAGCCCATTGTTTTATTAGCAAAGTCCAAACAAAATCAAACAATAAGATTTTTTTAAATTTCAAGCCCAAAACTGGGCCAAATTAAACATAACTCAAATGCACGGACCCATATAGCACGGTCAAAGCTTTATCCAGCACACAAATATAGAACATTCAAGAAGGTGGTAGAGGCAGGTATTTAATACCTGAAACCCTACCACCTGCAACATTTTCGCCGTTTCTTCTTGACTTTAAATTTTTTTCTCCCATCGGAGACAAACACTCAGATTGATTCCGATTTTGTTTAGCCGTCGTAGACATGCTTTTAATTTATCAAATCGAAGCTATTGATCTAGATCTATGTAAACAAATTTTTAAGTTTTTTAATATTCAAAAAAGGAATCGATCTAGACAAAATTTCAACACGATTTCCAGCTACTAGTTTTTAAAATGTAGAAAACCAGTGAAATCTGTCGATATATTTTCGCAAATTTCGGTTTACATTTTTTTTGCTGTTATCGTGTTCAAACAATTTTTTTATTTCTTCTTTTTTTTTTTATGTTTTTATAACTTGTTTTATTACAAGAACAATAGAATATATTACACATGAAGGCATTTATTTTCTTAAATTTTATACAAAATTTATTTTGCAAATATAAAGGTGTTTTTATGATATAATAGAGAAAAATAGCAACATATCTATAGATTTATAAGGATATTCAACTTATTTTTTTATTTTTATTAATAGATGTAAACAAATATACATTTAGGGGTTTTTATTATTGTATGTTTTATTAAATTTGTAGGACTCTATGCGTTAAGGACTCTATATTTATTGGAGTAAAAATGAATTTGGCTTTCTATTTGAAAAAAAAAAAAGAAAAAGAATTTGAGAGGATAACTATAAATTTAATTTAAGTCAAAGTGACTTTAATCTATATGGGTGCGTATAGGCTAACTGGCACTAAGATTACATTATTTATTTGATGTAAGTATTAGGGTTACAGTATAGATCTGAGATCGAACAAGAGAAAAGAGAAAAAAGGCGATAGAAATTCTGATAAGAGAATAATGAACATTAGGGTTACAATCAACCATTTAGTCTCTATTTATACTATGTACAACTCAACTAAAGTTGCTAAATACCAATAACAACTTTGTGTTACACTCTACAATATGAAGGCTAAATTGGTAAATACATATATCATTATTATCCCCCCGCAAGCTGACTGTGTATATTCATCTTGGAGATAAGTGCATGAAACAATGGTCCTGGTAAGGGCTTTGTCAGTGCATCTGCAATCTAGTCCTTGGTGTGAATGTACTCCAGTCTCAGAATGCGAGCAGCAACCTTTTCCCTCACAAGGTGGCAATCAAGCTCAATGTGTTTAGATCTCTCATGGAAGACTGGATTGGCAGCCATTGCCATTGCAGATTTAGAATCTATAAAGACAACAACATGTGATGAGTGTGGGATATTGAAATCATTAAATAAGTATAATAACCATTGCAATTCATAAGATGTTGATGCTAAGGCTTTGTATTCTGGTTCAGCAGAAGATCTACTGACTGTTGGATGTTTCTTAGATTTCCAGGAGATAAGAGATTTGTCAAGAAAAATAGTATAACCAGTTATGCTTCTTCTGGTATATAAGCAGCCAGCCCAGTTACTATCAGAATAGGCAATTAAATTTAAAGTAGAGGATCTGGGAAATAATATACCTTGACCTGCAGTGCCCTTAACATACTTTAATATTCTGTGGGCAGCTGTGAGATGATCTGCAGTGGGTTTACTCAAAAATTGGCTTAAGCACTGAACAGTATATGAGATATCAGGTCTAAAATGGTAAGATATAAGAGTCTACCAATTAGTTTTCTAAATTCAGTAGCATCTGTTAAAGTGTCAGATTCAGTATATGCTTTGAGTTTAACATTTGATTCCATGGGTGTGTTGGCAGGCTTACAACCCAAAAAACCTGTGTCATTGAGGATGTCTAAAGCATATTTCCTTTGACACATGTTAATTTCCTTAGTAGAGCGGGCAAACTCAAGACCCAAGATGTATTTAAGCTGTCCTAGGTCTTTAATGGTGAAGCATGCATGAAGATGTTGTTTGATGGCACAAATGATAGACATGTTATTGCCACATAATATCACATCATCAACATATACAAGTAAGGCAGTGAAATCAGAATTAGATTTAAGAGTAAACAAAGAGCAGTCAGCCAGTGATTGTTTAAAGCCATAGATGAGGAGACATGATGTTAATTTTTCAAACCATTGCCTTGAGGCTTGTTTAAAGCCATAAAGGCTTTTTAAAAGTTTGCAAACTCTTGAATCAAATTGTGAACAGTAACCAGGGGGTGGGGACATGTAAACTTCTTCATGTAAATCACCATGCAAGAATGCATTGTTCACATCAAGTTGATGAATAAATTAATTTTTAATAGATGCTACAGAAATTAAGAATCTGACAGTAGATATTTTGGCTACAGGAGAAAAAGTATCAAAATAGTCAATACTTTCTTCTTGAGTGTAGCCTTTGGCTACCAGCTTTATACCTTTCAACAGAGCCATCTGATTTATACTTTACCTTATAGACCCATTTAGAGCCTATACAATGCTTACCTTCAGGTAGATCAGTTAACTCCCAAGTGTGAGTCTGTTCAAGAGCAGTAAGCTCTTTTTGCATTGCTTCAATCCACAAAGTGTTTTTAGAAGCTTGACTGTAAGTTTTAGGCTCAGCATGTTGAGTTAAAGATGCAGTGAAACTGTAATGAGATGAAGAGAGAGATGCAGTGGATAAAAAATCAGATATATGGTAAGGAGATGTACTAGTGGATGTGAAGTTTGAAGATGTAGAAGATGGTAGGTTATGGTTATATAGAGTGAGGTAGGCAGGGGTTTTCTTTGTCTGGTGGATTTTCTTGTAGGATGTTGTTGTGGTAATTGAGGTGAAGACTCATTAGGAGGGTTGTGTATAGGTTCAGGTGGTAATGTAGTTGTGTTTATGATAGTTGTAAGAGTATCATGTGGTAACTAGTGCATATCCCGTGCGATGCACGAGATATATGAATTTGAAAAATATTATAATTTGACATGCATTAGGATATATGAGAGTTTAATACATACGAACAATATTCAAACATAAAATGTTCGTCCCGAAAAAATCATATATTAATAAAAACCTCTTTGAACACAACATTAGGAGTTTGATTATTAGGTAACTCGTTGTGAGGAGCACGGCCCGACGCGGGCTGCACAAAGGGTTGTAGAAATTGGGCCTCACTTAACTGGGCTCCCTTACTGGACTTCTCTCCTGGGCTGAGAATGTTGATTGTTGTTGCCGAAAAAATTGCCCCACACTGTATTTGAACCTTTAGTTATTTACAAAATCCTAGCTTAGTTGATCAATAAACAAATATATAACTCAAAATATATTTTTCTTAAAGAGGGGCAGTTATGAAATTTTTCCATATATATTAAATAGATTAATTCGGCCTATTTACTTTGGCCCGCCTAGCCACTCTATATAATTTAGTTTTTTGCCCAAATCATCTTAATATACCATCTCAACAGCCCAACTACCCTCCCTAATTAAATACACAATCAATCTTCTAACCCTCACTAATTAAATACACACGACACTAAAATTTTTTTTGGGTACAAACACGCTACTAAATTAAATACACACACTCAAATCTGACGAAAAAAAAGGAAGTAAAATTCTCTCTCCTCTTATCACTTATTCTCTTCATCTTCTTCATCGCGTAGCAAAATTTTTCTTTTTTTTTTTAATCTTTCATCTGTGAATTGAAGACCAATAGATCTAACACGCAAATCTTTTCTCATAGCCAATAACACTCACAAGAAATTTTCCAAATACAAAAACCCCA